TTAATTAAAGTAACGAAATAATTATGTTCAAATATTGAGAGCTTTCTAAATTTTGACACAGTTTTTAAGTGAATTTCAAAATTTCGTTAAAAAAAATAAAAACTTAGTGATTAATAGAACTACAAATGTTTAGCTCAGATTTCCACATTTTGTTAAAATACTGAAAGAATTATAAACATTGAGCTTTCAAATTTGTGCTAATTTTTTTCTTTCGCTGAAAATTCTGTTGCTGAAATCCAATTCCATCGTTCCAATCACCAGTATTTTATTTATTTTGAGAATCTTGAGTTTTTTAAGCACATTGAAGTCAATCTAAATTGTCTCAAATCATAAAAAATAGCTTTTCAAATATTAACAACTTTTTAAATTTTGACACAGTTTTTAATGAATTTAAATGTTACGTTAAAAAAATAATGAAAAACTAACGATTAAAGAACTATACATTTTTAATCGAGACCTGCACAATTTTGTGAGAATAATGAGAGAATGATACAAAATTAGGTTTCCAAATACTGAGGACTTTTAAAATTTTGGCACAATTTTTAAGCGAATTTAACAATTTCGTTTAAAAAGAGATTGATTTTTTTTGCACATTTTGTTTAAATAATAGAATATTTATAAAAATTGAGCTTCCAAATTGTTCATTTTTTTTCAAAGAAAATTCTGTTCCAGTCATCTATATTTTATTTATTTTGAGCATTCTGAGTATCTCAAACAGATTCAATGGGTCCAAATCGTCTCACATCGTAAAAAATTTAGGTCCTCAAATATTGAGAACTTTTTAAATTTTGCCTCAATTTTTTAGTGGATTTAACCATCTTGTTAAAAAAAAAATAATAATAATTAAAAGCACTGAACACTGTTAAAACCCAATCTCATCTTCAGTTGGGATTTATTTTAAACACTTTGAATCTCTGGCACAAACTCAGGTGAGTTTAAACCGTTTCAGATTGTTAAAAGTCGACAATTTTAGTCGATTTCTTGTTCTAGTGGCTGCAGTTTTGGCGTGGGCTGTCAGAATCTTTGGAAAAGAGAGTGCAGGATATTTCACCAGCTTTTACATAATTCCATATACCCTACGGACACGGACACTTCATAATATTCGCATTACATAACATATATTATATTATATTCTAAACCCAACTAGATTTTTGTTAAACCCGAAACAAAAGCCGCGCGTGCGATGACGTCACCCAGCACCCGGCAGCAGCGCGAAATGAAGCTTCTAATATTTTCTGCAGACGCATTTCTGCCCGTCTCGGCCGTCCTCATTTGCATAAATAGGACTCATTTGCATTGCCATTGTGTTGTGATCTCGCCCAAGACCTCACTCCTCATTAGAACCAATTCTCGAATCGAAATCGTGATGCCAGTAGTTATGGAAATCGCAGAAACCTTGTTGACACATCGCATCTCCTAACGTAACAGAGCTAAATTCCAGACTGATAGAGTCATCAGCGTCGAAAAAAATCTGTTTGCGGAATTCGAAAATGTCAACTGGTGTTCCAACACATTTCGATTATTTAATAACGTGCTTTCTGCATAGCTAAATGGGGCAGTGAACTCGAAACTGACCAACCTTAATTCTAATTTATTTATTTTGCGACCCGATATTTATTGTTATTTCGAGCCGAAATCCGTGACCACCTAGAGCTAGCAACATTCTGGTGACCTTTGGACCGACAAGTGGCGCTTGTGTCATATAATCGTTATTTAACACTTTTATTAGAGACCTGTTTCGGGGAAATTAGAACTCGGAAGTGGCCGAAGAACCGAAAGATCATTTGACCCTCGAGCTATAAATCCGCTGTTGTCAGGTTAATTTGACGCCGATGAGTGATGCAACTCGCTTTATTGAAACATCCATTAAAGGTTACAAGCGTTTAATTAATTCAGATTCATAAATCATAACCTTCTGCGTTGCGATTGCGTCGACACGTTTCTGAAGAATGTGGCTGAAGATGGTGCCGCAGAGGGGAATCGTGGCGGTCAATAGCACGTTTCGGGGATTTGGTGTTCCGTGTTTTTTTGGGGAATGACACATCGTTAATGAGTTGGGAATTGTTGATAAACGGGTGTTTTCTCACGTATTCCGAAAACGTGCTGGTCATCAGGAGGTAAATATTATTAATTAGTTCCGTGACCGTGCTATTATATGGCTATTTTTAAAATTGTAATTTTGTGCGATGACCTTAAGAGTAGCCTTGGGATTATACAAGTGAGGTAGGTAGTAATTAACAGTTATGCAAAAAATGCATTTGAAGGAACGTCATTTTTCTTATTGTAATGAAGTTATTGAATGTTTTAGCTTTTTTGGAGGTAAATTTCCATAAATTTACTGGTTTTTAAATTCTTTGGAGTGTAATGTATACATTATTCAACAATGATAATGCGGTTAGTTTATTCAAAGCTGATTAGTACAGTTATTTACAGGTTGTACTTTTTTTGTTAACAAAACTTAAAATCTGTACATTTGTTTGAATCCGTAATTGTTTCGTATGTTTGGCTTATCGATACTTAATTTTTATGTTAGTTTTAACCAAATATTCTTATTTACTTATTTACCTTGAATATTAAAACACTAATTTAATCGCTTGACTTCATTGTTATAAGTAATTATAAAACTATAAAGTTTTAAGTTTACAAAATGTTACATCCGTGTATTAATGAATGGTAATGTGAGTGTTTTTTATTTCAGATCCTTTAAGTATATTAAACTGCTAAGGTTTATGGTTTTATTGTTAGAGCTTCAGAATTTTAAAAACTTTTATACTCAGTCTTGAACTTTTGATTTTTTTCTTGGGTTTGAAAACAACGTTAAATTATAAAATTTAAATGAGATCGAGTCCTCCAAATATTCATATTTTTAAAAATTTAAATTTTAAAACTATATATTATCGAATGATCCTTTTTTCAATTTTTAATCAGATGTCTTGATTTTGTTTGAATTTAACAAATTCAAACACATCGAATATTCGAAGAAAGTGGACAAAAAATACGGCAAATTTCACTTTAAATTCTTCCCAATTTTTTAATGTTTTCTTACATTTTTTTTTTGTAAAAAGTGTCTGCTTACATTTCCTATACACCTAGGATTTTTTTATACTCATCAACCAATTTTAGAGTATTTACACTGTTTAAATTTTGGTTTTTGTCTTAGAGTAAGCTGAAAAATAAAAAAAGCAATTTTCTGTTTTTCTTAAAAAGTTCAAAATTGTTAAAAATTTAAACTTTATTTTATGTTGTCATTCTTTCAGTTATTTTCTATGTAAGTTTGATAATACGAAACAATTATTAGTAAATTAAAAACATAAAAAATATGTTGTACAATTTTCTTTTCCTTCTTTTTTTTTCTCAAGTATTTTCTATATTTAAAGTTGGCAGTTTTCGCGACATCTTGGATTTTTTTTTATACTGATCAACCAATTTTAAAGTATTTACACTGTTTAAATTTTGTTTTTTGTCTTAGAGTAAGCTGAAAAATAAAAAAAGAGCAATTTCCTATTTTTCTGAAAAAGTTCAAAATTGTTAAAAATTTAAACTTTTTTTCATGTTGTCATTCTTTCAGTTATTTTTTTTATAAGTGTGATAATACGAAACAATTATTAGTAAATTAAAAACATAAAAAATATGGTGTACAATTTTCTTTTCCTTTTTTTTTTATCAAGTATTTTCTATATTTAAAGTTGACAATTTTCGCGTCACCTAGGATTTTTTTTTAACACTGATCAACCAATTTTAAAATATTGAAACTATTTAAATTTTAGTTTTTCTCTTAGAGTAAGCTGAAAAATAAAAAAAAGAGCAATTTCCTATTTTTCTGAAAAAGTTCAAAATTGTTAAAAATCTAAACTTTATTTTATGTTGTCATTTTTTCAGTTATTTTTTTTATAAGGTTGATCAATACGAAATAATTATTAGTAAATTAAAAACATAAAAAATATGTTGTACAATTTTCTTTTCCTTCTTTTTTTTTTACTCAAGTATTTTCTATATTTAAAGTTGACAATTTTCGCGTCACCTAGGATTTTTTTATACTGATCAACCAATTTTAAAATATTGAAACTATTTAAATTTTGGTTTTTGTCTTAGAGTAAGCTGAAAAATAAAAAAAGAGCATTTTCCATTTTTCTGAAAAAGTTCAAAATTGTTAAAAATTTAAATTTTATTTCATGTTGTTATTCTTTCAGTTATTTTTTTTATAAGTGTGATAATACGAAACAATTATTAGTAAATTAAAAACATAAAAAATATGGTGTACAATTTTCTTTCCTTTTTTTTTTGTCAAGTATTTTCTATATTTAAACTTGATAGTTTTCGCGACTTATTACTTTTTTGAGGGACATGTCGAATATTGAAAGAAAATAAACAAAAAATAGGAAATATACAGTAATAAAATATAAAGTGAAGTTAATTTTTTATAAACACCCTGTATATAAAAATTTGACTTAGTTAGTCTACATTAAAATTTTTTAAATTAAAACTTTGCTCTTGGTGCAATTAGGCTCTAGGTGTTTAGCATAGAGTCTGCTCCCGAGAACCTCGCTTTACCCGAGGCGAAGTCGAGCGCGAAAACAAAAAATGATATCTGATGACGAATATTTTTGCTTTCTTATTAGGTAATGTCATTTCCATTAAATACCATGCTTTTGTTACTCAAATATAGTGTTTATTGTGAGCGTAAACTTTTAGTGATTTTGTTTTATTATAACAATTTTATTGTTGTTTACCACCACTTTTGAACACAGCAAAATTTTGCATCCAATTGGACACTTGTATAATTTTTAAATGAAACCGTATAAAATCAACATTTTTTCTACGCACACACTATATCCCCCATACCCATGTAACCTGCGCCCATAAAAATTCTTGCACCATCAAAATAATTTACGACCGACACCATCATTCACCGAATTCAGGCCAATCGTCACCACAATTTTCAGGCGCCACCTCGGCGTGTACAAATCGGGCCGCGATTTTCGAAAAAGGAAAAAACTCACCGTTGTTAGTCCAAGAACAAAGAACGAACTGTCGCAATTCGATTAACACACACTCATACACACCGGCAGTCCTTACCTTTGCTCAGTAAAGCACTAAAAATCTCACGCGAATAAGTGAGAGTCTCATTTATATGTCTTCAGGTGTTTTTAAAGGTGGTCTTGGTGGGATTTCTCTCGTTATCCCCGTACGAAATCGAAATTTTTTCATCGGTGGACGCTTCACTCGCTGATGTAAGGCGATGATGAGCACAATGATGATGATGATGATGATACGGGTCGGTTTTTTTTGTTGATTGGAGTTTCATGGGTGGAATGGGTGTTTTTCGGTGTGCGTGCACGATTTGTTTATGAAATGGGTTCAATAAAGTAAAGGATGGGTTTTTGTTGTTGGTAGGCTGTTAATAGTGATTAGTGGATCAACCTTGTAACAGTAATTTAGTTAGCATATTATTAATGCATTAATGAATTAATAATTTTCTCATAGATGTGGTAGATAAGATTAATTTCTTGTTTAGAATATACCATTGTTTAGGTTTATCATTTCAACAAAAAATATATTAAAATAATTATGATTTATGAGACAGAGAAACGATTTGGAGAAATAACCACATTTTTTCTTTTAAAGCTAGAATTTTTAAAATAATTAGGTTGGCAACACCAACGCGTTCCTTGTTTAGTTTGACAGTTGCGGTCAAATATATAAAATTTCATGGCCCACTAGAGAACTTTTTGCGATCGAGTGATATATTAATTTAAGACAGATATGCGTTGAGGTTATCTCATCCTGAAAGATTATCAGATTTTTTACTTCCCAAACGTAATTTCATTTTTCTGGACGTTTCATTCTTATGAAATTTAATATTTTTGGAAATATCGTAGATGGTAAAACGCTGACAAAAATTTGTCTGTTCATGTTCACTAAAGTTTATTGACGTCACCTCAAAATTGTGGTTGTAAATCCTCTATAAAATATGTAAAATCTATTAGTACGGAGAATGTTCAGAAAAGTGAATTGATGTTTAACAGTTAATTTTATGTTTAACCCAAAAGCTGATTACTCATTTTTTCCAAAACTCTTGGAACACAAAATTATTTTAGTTTAAACGCGTTATTACCAAAAATAAAATTTTTAGAATCAAATTTTTTGGAATAATAAAACACGTAAATTTGATTTTTTTGAAATATGTATAACGTTTTATATTTAATTTTTTTGTTTATTCTGATAATTTAGTTTGACTTTTTATTACTTTTGGAGAGTAAGCCAAGGATTTATTGTAATAAAGACTATCTAGTGCACGGCTACTCTCATATATTTCGGTTCTTCGATTTTTCCATTATCAATTTTTCGAATTTAGATTTGTCAGTTCTTTTCGATATTTTGATTTTCGATTTTTGAATATTTGACCTGATTTTTCGACTCTTCGGAATCTCAATTTTCGATTTTTCTAGTTTCTATTTTTCGCTTTTTCCATTTTTCCATTTTCCTGATTTTTCGATCTTTAATTTTTCGGTTATTGGTTCTTTGAATTTTCGTTTTTCGATTTTTCGATTTTTGAATTTTCGGCTTTAGCTTTTTCGATTTTAGATTTTCCGATTCTCGATTTTTCGATTTTCGCTTTTTCGATTTTCCCACTCTTCTGTTTTCGATTTTTCAACACATATTTGATTGATTGGATTTTTGATTGTTTGATTTTTTTATATATTTTTTTTCTATAATGTTTCCGATTACTTGGTTTTCAATGTTTGGACTTTTCAACTTTGCGGCTTTATTATTTTTCGATTTTACGAAATTTCCGATTTTCAATTTTTCAAATTTTTGATTTTTCGATTTTTGAATTAATTTTTCGAATTTTCGACTTCTAGATTTTTTTGATTTTCGATTTCTCGAGTTTTCGTTTTTTTTTATTTTTCAATGTTTGATCTTCCGTTTTTTTTTCGAGTTTTCGATTTTTCCATTCTTCTGTTTTTGTACTTCTAAATTTTTTTGCTTTTCGGTTTTTGGGTTTCGCGACTTTTCAGTTTTTCGATTTTTTATTATTGGATACTTCAATTCTTTGATTCTTTTTCGATTTTTCAATTTTCAATTTTTCGAGTTTTTTTCAAGTTTCCGATTTTTCGATCTTTTTTTTATACATATTTCGATTTTCGAATTCATTCGAAATGATTCATCGAATTTTCGATTTCGCAATTTTTGATTTTTTTACTTTTCTATTTCTCTAATTTTCAATTTTTCATTTTTCGAATTTTCAATTTTTCGATTATAATTTTTTCAATTTTCGATGTTCGATTTTTCGATTTTCAATTTTTCGATTCTTCCTTTTTCCAATTTTCGATTTTTCAAATTTTCTATTGTCGATTTTGGATTTTCGAGATTTCAAAATCTTGATTGTCGAGTTTTCCAATTTTGTGATGCTCGATTTTTCAATTTTAGAATTTTTGATCATTTTATTCATCGAATTTAAATTTTTAATTTTTCGAATTTTTTTCGAGTTTTTATTTTTTCATTTTTCAATATTTTTACTTTTCTACGATTTTTCGATTTTTCCATACTCAAATTCTCAATTTATTCTTTTCGAATTTTCGATTTTTCACTTTTTCCACTTTTCGGATTTTCGATTCGTAAATTTTTTTGCTTTTCGATTTTTTGATTTTTCGAATTTTTGATTTCCGATTTTTGAATTGATTTTTCGAATGCTCGACTTTTAGATGTCTTGTGGTTTTTGATTTCTCGAGTTTTCGTTTTCTGATTTTTCAGTTTTTGATTTTCTGATTTTTCGATTTTTCCAGTTTTCTGTTTTTGCACTTCTAAATTTTTTTGCTTTTCGGTTTTTGAGTCGCGATTTTTCAGTTTTTCGATTTTGAATTTTTCGATTATCCATTTTTGATTATTGGATACTTAAATTCTTCGATGCTTTTTCGATTTTTCGGTTTTTCAATTTTCAATTTTCAACTTTTCGATCTTTTTTTAATACATATTTCGATTTTCGACTTCATAATTTTTGATTTTTCCAATTTTTTTCGAGTTTTAATTCTTGCCATTCTTCAGTTTTCAAACTTTTAATTTTTTACTTTTCTATTTCTCTAATTTTCAATTTTTCGTTTTTCGAATTTTCGATTTTTGAATTCTAATTTTTTCAAATTTTCGATGTATGATTTTTCGGTTTTTAATTTTTCGATTCTTCCTTTTTTCAATTTTCGATTATGTCGAATTTTCGATTATCGATTTTTCGAATTTTTGATTTTTGACTTTTCGAATTTACGATTTTCTATTTTTCGAATTTTCGGTTTTCGAGATTTGAAAATCTCGATTGTCGAGTTTTCAAATTTTGTGATGCTCGATTTTCCTATTTTCGATCTTGAGTTTTCGTTTTGTTGATTTTTCAGTTTTTGATTTTTCGAATTTTTTTCGAGTTTTCGATTTTTCCATTTTTCTGTTTTTAGACTTTTAATTTTTTACTTTTCTATTTCTCAAATTTTCAATTTTTCGTTTTGCGAATTTTCGATTTTTCGTTTTTAATTTTTTCAAATTTTCGATGTTTGATTTTTCGATTTTCAATTTTTCGATTCTTCCTTTTTTCAATTTTCGATTTTTTGAATTTTTGATTTTTATCTTTTCGAATTTTCGATTTTCGAGATTTCAAAATCTCGATTGTCGAGTTTTCAAATTTTGTGATGCTCGATTTTCCTATTTTCGATCTTGAGTTTTCGTTTTGTTGATTTTTCAGTTTTGATTTTTCGAATTTTTTTCGAGTTTTCGATTTTTCCATTTTTCTGTTTTTAGACTTTTAATTTTTTATGTTTCTATTTCTCAAATTTTCAATTGTTCGTTTTTCGAATTTTCGATTTTTCGTTTTTAATTTTTTCAAATTTTCGATGTTTGATTTTTCGATTTTCAATTTTTCGATTCTTCCTTTTTTCAATTTTCGATTTTTTGAATTTTTGAATTTTATCTTTTCGAATTTTCGATTTTCGAGATTTCAAAATCTCGATTGTCGAGTTTTCAAATTTTGTGATGCTCGATTTTCCTATTTTCGAATTTTCGATCTTGAGTTTTCGTTTTGTTGATTTTTCTGTTTTTGATTTTTCGAATTTTTTTCGAGTTTTCGATTTTTCGATTTTTCTGTTTTTAGACTTTTAATTTTTTACTTTTCTATTTCTCAAATTGTCAATTTTTCGTTTTTCGAATTTTCGATTTTTCGTTTTTAATTTTTTCAAATTTTCGATGTTTGATTTTTCGATTTTCAATTTTTCGATTCTTTCTTTTTTCAATTTTCGATTTTTTGAATTTTTGATTTTTGTCTTTTCGAATTTTCGATTTTCGAGATTTGAAAATCTCGATTGTCGAGTTTTCAAATTTTGTGATGCTCGATTTTTCAATTTTCGAATTTTTGATCGTTTTATTCATAGAATTTTCAATTTTTAATTTTTCGAATTTTTTCGAGTGTTCATTTTGTCATTTTTCAATTTTTTTACTTTTCTTCGATTTTTCGAATATTTAAATTTGAGTATTTGAATTTACGATGTTTTGATTTTTCCATACTCAAATTCTCAATTATTCCACTTTTAGAATTTTCGATTTGTAAATTTTTCTATTTTTGAATTTTTTGATTTTCGATTTTTCGAATTTTCAATTTTTCGATATTGGAATTTTCACTCTTAAATTTTCGATTTTTCAGTTTTACGATTTTTCGATATTTGACTTCGATTTTTGATTTTTGAGTTTTGAATTTCTCCATTCGTCAGTTTTTAGATTTTCTTATTTTTCGATTTTCGAGTTTTGTGTAACAAAAAAGTCATATATTTATTATTATTTTAAAAATTGCAGGGTCTACTAGAGGACTTTTGTCGATCACACTGTACTTATATTATTTTTCTGAAACACTGGATTTGCCCATCAAGGGCGAGGAAAGTTCTGTCTAATAAGATAAGGCCAATGTTTCTTTAAATACTTTGATAATGTGGAAATACTATAAGAAGAACATGCACCCTCACAATCTGTCATTGTTATTTTAGGCAGTGGCGTAGCATCTGCGTTTTTAAATGGGGATATTCTGATAAATATATTTTCATATTGAACTGATTTCAATAAAACATCGCACTGTAGGTAAGTG